CTGCTGACAACACCATTCCTGACACAGGCCAGGATGCTGTTGGCCTTCTTGGCCACCCGGGCACACTGCTGGCTCATGTTTAGCTGTTGTCCATCAACACCCCCAGGTCCCTCTCTGCCTGGCAGCTCTTCAGCCACTCCTCCTCAAGCCTGTAGCGCTGCTGGGGGTTGTTGTGGCTGAAATGCAGGACTCGGCATTTGGCCTTGTTGAAACTCATGGTGTTGCTCTTGGCCCAGTGATCCAGCCTGTCCAGATCCCTCTGGAGAGTCTCTGCTCTGAAGCAGATCGATGCTTTCACCCACCTTCGTGTCATCTGAAAACTTACTGAGGGTGCACTCCATCCCCTGGTCCAAATCATTGATGAAGATGTTAAACAGGAGTGGCCCCAGCACTGAGCCCTGGAGGACACCACTAGTGACCGGCCACCAGCTGGATTTAACTCTCTTGACCACAACTCCCAGGACTCGGCCATCCAACCAGTTTTTCACCCAGTGAAGCATGTGACCATCCAAGCCAAGAGCAGGCAGTTTCTCTAGGAGAATGCTGTGGGCAACAGTGTCAAATGCCTTCCTAAAGCCAAGGTAGACAACATCCACAGCCCTTCCTTCATCCAACAAGCAGGTCACTCAGCCACAGAAGGAGATCAGGTTTGTTAAACAGGACCTGCGCTTCACAAACCCCTGCTGGCTGGGCCTGATCACCTGCTTGTCCTGCATGTGCTGCACAATGGAGCTCAGGATGATCTGCTCCATCAGCTTCCCTGGCACTGAAGTCAGACTGACAGGCCTGTGATTTCCTGGATCATCCTTCCTTCCCTTCTTATCGATGGGTGTTAGATTGGCTGACTTGCAATCAGCTGGGACCTCTCCAGTAAGCCAGGACTGCTGATAAATGATGGAGAGTGGTCTGGCAAGAACCTCCGCCAGTTCACCTAGTATTCTAGGGTGTATCTCGTCTGGCTCCTCAGATTTATAGACATTGACATGTAGTAGTAGGTCCCTGACTGTCTCCGCATGAATTGTGGGGGTGATAATTTTGCTCCTGGTCCCATTCTCTTGGTTTGGGGGGCTGGCTTCCCTCAGTACAGGTGTTTCTTTTACTAAAGACTGAGGCAAAGAGGGCATTAAGCACCTCAGCCTTACCCTTGTCTTTTGTTACTATATTTCCTTCTGAGTCTAGCAGGGGATGGAGGCTCTCTCTGTTCTTTCGTTATTAATGTATTTATAAAAACTTTTCTTACAGTGCTTTACTTTCAAAGCCAGATTAACTTCCAACTGGGCCTTGAACCTTCTAATAATCTCCCTACATAACCTAACATTATCCTTATACTCATTATGAGTGGCTTGCCCTCTTTTCCAGAGGCCATAAACTCTCTTTTTTTTCCCTGATCTTCAGCAATATGTCCCTATACAGCCAGGCTGGTCTTCTATGCCACTGGCTTGTCTTAAAGCACGTAGGGATGGCCTGCTCCTGTGCCTTCAAGATTTCCTCCCCAAGTACTGTCCAGCCTTCCTGGACTCCTATACCCTTCAAAACTGAGTCCCAAGGGGAACAGTCCACCTGAAATCATCACAACCATTCTCATGGCAGACTGGTGTCAAATGTTGAAGTTCATACACAGAGGGATATCCAAAATGTGAGGGCTACTTTAAATACTTTGAGAGAGTATTCACATGCTTTCACATCATTTCTACTCTTTCTAAAAGTGGTATCTTCTTATCAAAGAGAGAACAGAATGAGAACATAAACAAATACAAATCAAATAAAAATGTAAACATTAAGTCTAGGCCACCCAAAATATTCAAACTGAAGCCTATGAAAGTAAAATAGGGACAGAAATGAATTTCAGAGAAAATTATTCCAGTGTCCTTTTCTAAAATGTCCTTGTGATATTTATTACAGGAAATAACCTCCAAGTGCTCTCTAAATCTACCAGTGTTTACATAGGACTAGCTGCAAATGTCTCCAACAGTCTTTCAATGAAAATTATAGCACAAGGCAGGCATTTTGTATTTGTTTATTTGCAGCTGGAAGGAAATGCCATAGTTAATGTATGTTTTCTTTTACCAGTCAATGCAAGATTTATTGATCATCGAGGTTTCAAAGCTCTGTGCCAGCATGGCAAATGCAGTGACAAAGCAGCAAGTCCCAGGTGCCCCTCTCCTGTACACAATGGCACAGAGGATGCAAATATTTCATTGTCTTGCTAAAAATAAAAATACAATCAGACAAATGCACAACATGTAATGACAGATGAACAGACGATCTTAAGTCACTCTCCACTGCCATTTCCTGGTAGACAGGAGGGCATTTATGTTGGCTACTCTTTCATTGTTTCCCTTCTCTGAGCTTTTGATGCCTGAGCCAAAATGAAAATGTATAGTGTTTTCCAAATGAAAACTGTTAACACTGCTTCCTTCCGCATGCTCACTTAGTAGTGTTTTTCAGTTTTCTTGTACACATCTTTTTTTGGCTCTAATTCCAGTCCAATGAATTCCTGCTAGTGCAAGGGCTGCCTCACAGTTCCTTTGCAACAGACCCTGCCAATCAATGTCTGTGCCCAAATAGAAACACACACCTCAGATGAAGGGACCCAAAGGAGGTACTGTACCCTACGAAGATTCAGGAGACAACACAGACCATATGCTAGCCTTCAACTTTGCTGACTGTTTCTCGCAAGGCTTCCTTGTGCAGAAGAGAATAATAAAGGAAATGTCTGCAAATGTGTAATCATCTGCAGCTGAAGGAGAAGGAAAAAGAGAGATTTATCACTTGACCTTTGCTACTTCTCCATAACGTTCCCTGTGCGGACAAATCGGTACAAGATGAAAAAATGGCAAACAGATGGGGAGAGGAACACAACAAGCTCAGCTGGTGGCTGTGTCCAGGGCCAGCCAGATCCTGTGTTTTCTACGCTGGGAACATTTTGTTGAAAACTGTCTCCATGGTACTTTTTTTTTGTCAATTTGTGTGAACTTTTACACCGGAAGAGCCCATTTCAATGCCTCTGCACCACTACATTCCCTGGACTAGCACCAGTCTGTCTCCAGCTGAGACCTCATAAGGCTGCTCCAGGTGATGCATGTGTGCACCAGGAAATCAGACAACTTTCACAGGCATCGTCTGTTCTTGAAGTTAAAGCTGCGCATCTCCAGTGAAAAAATGCCATGCAGTAAGAAACTGGGCAGTGACAAAGTCAGAGGATTTTTAAGATAATAAATATATGGGTAAAGTCAATAGGACTGGATGGGTATAAACCTGCCCCAAACATACCCTAAACATTTTGTTTATTGCTCTACATTGTAATCTGGGGACTGATTCATCTTAAGAAAGGAAATCTTTCTGATGCAGAGAAACACAATTTTATACTCACTTGAACTTCCTCTTAAAATCACCTGGAAATGATTTAACAGAATGAAGCACCTGCCAGCAATCCATTTTTTTATAAGCTTTTCGATTGTTCTGTCATGCTGTGTTTGTACTCATCTCAGATAAGTGGCAAACTCTTCTCTAAAATTTTCTTAAAAAATAAATTCCTACAAATAATAAATATGGTGACAAGTACAATTCATTCCTACTTGCTATGGAAAATACTCATTGTACAAAATAACACACTACAGGATATTATTTTTAGTAATTATTATTATTAGCCTCATTGGGACACTTCCTACAGAATGTATTAACCAATGTGCCATGTTACCTCTGAGGAAAGGAAAAGTAGACAATTTTCTCTCTTGTTAAATATTCCTTTGATGCTGTCTAACACTGTTAAGCATTTCCTTCCTAATTTCTACATCTTCCACTGCTGCTTCTTCATTAATCACCTTTTCAAGGATTTATCTCTCACAAACAGTGAGCTAAATGTTTAGGTAGATATATCTGCCTCACGTATTAGTTGGAAAAACACTATTAAAAGTATTTTTGCTGGGCATTAGAAGATGGCGGAAGAGGACCTGGGCGTTCTACTTGACAGCCGGCTGAATATGAGCCAGCAGGGTGCCCGGGTGGCCAAGAAGGCCAACGGCATCCTGGCTTCTATTAGAAATTTTGTGACCGGCAGAAGAAGGGAGGTGATTGTCCCTCTGTACTCAGCACTGGTGAGGCTGCACCTTGAGTATTGTGTCCAGTTTTGGGCACCTCAGTATAGGAGAGATATCGAGGTGTTGGAGCGAGTGCAGAAGAGGGCAACAAAGCTGGTGAAGGGCCTGGAGAACAGACCTTATGAGGAGCGATTGAGAGAGCTGGGACTGTTTGTTTGACGAAGAGGAGGCTGAGGGGGGACCTCATCATGCTCTACAATTACTTGAAAGGACATTGTAGAGAGGTTGGTGCTAGTCTCTTCTCACAGGTAATTAGGGACAGAATTAGGGGGAATGGTTTCAAGTTGCAATAGGGCAAGTTTAGGCTGGACATTAGGAAGAAATTCTTCACAGAAAGAGTGGTCAGACACTGGAATAGACTGCCTAGGGAGGTGGTTGAGTCGCCATCCCTGGATGTGTTCAAGTGTCGTATAGATGTGGTGTTGGGTGATATGGTTTAGGGGTGAACTTGTAGTGTAGGGTCAATGGTTGGACTCGATGATCCAAACCTGAATTGTTCTATGATTCTAGGATTCTATGTCTTTCTGGTCAGATCTGCTGTTTCAGGTTCTTTGCAAACAAAAGCAAATATTACTGCCTGGTTCAGTGCAGCACCAGAAACACACATTTCAACATGGAATGGATTCAGGGATACACACTTTTTGGGGGGGAAGGCTTCAGACTAATCAAGAAATCTCCCCACAGCACTATGCTGAATCTGCTCCACCCTAACATTCACATGCTGATAGATTCCCCAGTTTTATCAGCAGAACCTATCTAGTTTATTGCAGCAGAAGTTTCATGCCACTACCAAAATACTGAAAAATTTCCACTGTATGTCAAGATTCATACTGAAAGCTGATGACTCCATCTATGTACCAAGCAGATGAAAAGAAAGTGACCTAACAGATGAAAAGAAAGTGACCAAACCCTATCCTGGCATGTGCAAACAATTAATGTACTGAATTTTCATGTGATTTCAATCCCCAATATCACAGCTGAGCAACTGAAAAGTGTTTTCCCCACATCTCAGTCTCCTGGCATTGCTTTTCTAGGGTTAAAGTCACAAAGTTAGCTCAAAGAGGACAGAAATTATTTAAACAATTTCAGATGTTCATGCTGCACCCACAAGAAATTACAGATTTGCATAAGAAAGTCATTAATTTTGCAAGGCACAGGTTAATATTGTATTTCTTTGACATGAGAGGATTTAATTCTAAATTTACTTGCACTGTTTTGGTTTGGTTTAAGATTGGCTTAATTTAACGGCTTTAACTCATGTTAATATAGTTTATAGTAATTAAAACTATATGCAGGAAAAGACAACGAAGCTTAAAGTTAAATCTTTACCTCTGACTGCCATTAGGGCTTATGGCTCATTGAACTTTCTCCAAATATATAATCAAGCTTCCAAGTCTAAAAGAGCATAATCCCAAAATTAACAAATACACTTCCAGCTTAGCTTTAAACCTCAAACTAAACAGTGCAATCAAAACATTGTGCTGTTAGCAAATTCTTTCCCAAAGCCTAAAACCAACAAAACACCGAAATTTCAATTACTTGCATTTTCGACCTAAACAGTGCAGTTTTCCTCTCTCCAGCTGAACATTTAAGGATGCCAGATAGAGATGATGATGCCCACTTATTCTTCCATTAGCAAGACCCTGAAGCTATGAAGAGGCGTACATAAACCTGCAGCACTTTACAGCCAAAACACAGAAGTGACAAAACTGCATTCAGTCAAACCCAACAAAATCCCTTCTGCATCCACTGAGCAAATAAGAAGAGATGGGGAGACAGGCAGGCTCAGAAAATTATTGTGTTCAAAAAATAGATATTGGAGGAATTTCTTGGTAATGCTACTGCAGACTTTACACGATGGCCATACGATATCTTCAGCCCTCACGTCCAGCCTTGCGGGGCAAGGGACATTGGATGGCTTCCCACTAAACATGGGGCATTCTGGCTCAAATAGAAGATGCAACATAAGCTCACAAGCAGGCTTTCAGCCTGGGAATTTTTTCCATATTATCAATATCCTCTAGATTGCAACCATACTTTGAGCACTCAAAGACAATAGTTCTTTCTGTGTGTTTTAACAAGAACAATTCTATTTAAAAAATTAATGTGATTTTTCTGAAGAACAATTTTTTGACCTTTACAGCTCATAATAGCTAAAGAAGCAGTTTTCTCTTCTTATCCAGGAACCTCAACTAAAACTTGTCATTACATGTTCACCCAACAGATTAAACTTCCAAAGGTTGAATTTTGCAGTCACCATAAGCGTAAACATAGGGGCAGGCAAATAAAAATAAATAGCTTTGTGGGCACATATTAGCTTACACAAGCATATGACCAGCCAGGTATGAGTACTTGTTTGTGCATGCAGATATAACCACCTCCTCCTGACCCTTCATATGCATCTTATAAAAGCAACTCAATTGGCAACTTCACAGTTCAGTTCTAGTACTGCAAATTTTAGAGAGTTCAACATAAAAGAAAAAAAGAAACCCATCACCACCACACTTCCCCCCCTCCAAAAAAGTAGAAAGTTCAACATTTCATGTAAATTTGATTAGCATTAGGATAACAAAGAAAGTCTGAGCCCTGCAAGCTCAAGACCCAAAAGACTTTTGTTAAGTAAAACTGCTCAGCGTACTAAATTTAGACTCTAAGGTAAAAACCTTTCCTAGAGCAGCCCAGGGTACTCTTGCTCAGGGGAACTACTCTGCCACATGCTCTTTTCTCAGCTTGGCTTGAGAGCATTTGATGGCCTTTATTAACAGGAACAGATCAAATTGGACCTTATTTTCTTCAATCACAAGGTATGACTTTCTGGTGATTTTCTAATAAATTAGATTATTTCTGTGTTTGTCTTTAATTTTTCATAGTAATTCAACACACATCAAGAGGAAATCTAGGCTTACCATACACAGTAAGTAAATAAGTCAGAAGAAGACTCCATATGCAGTTCAATAGTGCAGTTTAGGTAAAAAAAACCTGCAGCACACAAACGCTGAAATTCAGACTCCACTGGGAAACTTGCCTGATAAACTCCACCATATAGTACTGGATGGGAGAACTTCCTTCGCTTGCTCCAGGCTTCCAGGATAACGCAACTTCTGAATCAGAAACTACCACAATCTGTGGCTGAAAGGGTGGTGCAGGGGGCATGCACTTATCTAAGTCAGAAGAAATGCAAAGGAACAGCATTAGAGAAGTGCATGAGTTAATACACACAATAACCCAACACCCACAGACTTGAGAATCAAATTCACAGGCTTCTCCCTTCTTCTATTCCCCTTCTAAAACCCTAGACTTGTGGAAGAACAATAATGAAATATCACAGTACTGCACATGACAGAGATTTAGGTGCAGATGTGGGCCCTGCCAGTTTTGCAACAGAAAGACACGTGTGCAGCATTACCTTGAGATAAGGTTGTCACGTCTCTAGGCGTGCTGGGTCGTCCTTTCCCTGCCCAGCCATATGCTCCCACGCTAACGCGATGTGGAGTGCCTGGCTTTAGATCACCGATAACAACTTCCTACCGGAGTCAAGAAAAGACAAGAACACTGTGAAAGCTCTTCCATGTAACTGGGGATGGTGCTGCAAGCTGGGATTCGGGGATCTTACATGGCATTTTCCATGTAAAGTCCTAGGAGGATTGTCCCCAACCCAGCTCAAAAGCAACAAACACAAACAGCACCACGTGTTTCCTCTCAAGTCACAGCTTCACCTCAGGGGAATCCACAGGGATGACTTGGACCCATTTCTCAGCATAACTCACAAGGCTGCAGATTGCTTGTGTTGGCTATCCAGCTTTTTTACTGGTGAAGTCAAAGCTGCATACTATTCCCTCCCTTGAGCCAATTGCTGGCATTCAGTATCAGTGCAGTGCATTTTAATTTGGGGGGAGTTTTTGGTTTTTTGTTTTTACTTTAAATCCAGAGACCGCAGAAGCCCCTGAGAATGAAGCAAGTTGCTGCAGTGTGAACTGATGATCTTTAGTTTCTCATGGAGCAGAGACCAGTCCCACCGCCTCTCACAATTCTCTGAGTCCAGCTATCAGCCTTGACCTCAAGCAAGCATTTCCCTTATTTGTCCTTCTGCCATAAACACAGAGAGATTAACCCACAGACAACTACTGTAAAGGAGGCAATGCTAACCTCCACGTGAAGAGCTTGTGCTGCTGAATACCATTCAGAGAAGCTTGCTCAAATCTCCGAGAAACTAGCAAATGTCACAAAAAATCTAGATTTTATCACTGTCTGGCACACGTAACATGCGTCAGCCTCAGACATTTAGATCTGGTCTTCTGTGGAGCATGTGTATAGAAATTCAATATTCTTCAGCTGCAGAATATCTACAGAGAGACGTAAATCCCAGATTTATGAATTTTGACAGCATACACAAGTAAACAGAAATACTAGGTTTTACATCTCAGACTGTTTTGGCGTGAATAAAAAAGCACTTACAAAAAAACTGGTTTACAGAGATTTTTCTTGGTTTTTATTCCCTGATACACCTCTGCATGTGAAAATGCAGACGTTTCTTTTCACACTGGAACAGACTTCGAATTTGCATTTCCAGTTGCAGTAAGATAGTAAACAATCCGAAAATTTTATTAACTGCAAATTTCCTTATGACAGTCTTTTGGACAAACTCTCCCTCTCTATTCTTTGGGGAACTTACATTATTAGTACAATATTGTTCGGAAACACCCTGTCATCTGTCATTGCTCTAGCCACAGTTTTGGAGCTCCATCAGTGATTTCCTATTAACATGGACCACACGACCATTATCCTGTTTTTCCAAAATTCACCCTTGAGCTGCCTGGATGATTTGGATTCAACTGAGAGAGATACTAACAATGCTGGAAAAGTAACTGCCTAGAGAGAGGCAGCAAGAACACTCACACCGCATCTGGGTCTTTCAGTCTGGTAGCTGAAGTGACTGAAATCTTTCAAAACAGGAACTGAAAAGTCATTTGCTGAAAACCTCCTCCCGATGACAATACAGACGACCCTGCTCCTGGCATTCAATCTTCCATGCCATACACACTGTCCATCTGTATTTAAACTATGTGCATTTGTCCCTGCCAGCATCTCTCTTTATTACATTCACTCTCCTGAGAAAAAAACCAATCCTTCATCATGTGTCTTACTGCTTTCATGCTATTTGGGAACTTGGCCTCTGCAGAGAGCGGGATATGGATGTACTTGCCTCGTATTATTACCTCCAGGTTCAAGCCTACCATAAACTAAATAGAATAATCTCATTGACTGCAATGCCAATCAAGATCAAAGTCCTAATACCTACTTAGGTATTTTAGTTCAACATGTGTACCCTCAAAACCTCAGCAAGGCACTCTCTTGCCTTAAACACATGCCTATCTGCCTCTTCCAGCAATGTCCCCTCTATGAACACAGCTACTGGACATACAGTGGGTGCCTTTGAGACCATGTATCTTCCAATCTTCTATGATCAAGACACTAGTGAATAGGTAAAGATCCAGGACACCCTCATGCCACCCTGATCTGTGGCAATCTCTAGGAATATCCATCTCACACCAGAATATTTGCAGTGAGATGCTGGAGAAGCAACACATTTCCTTGTATCCCACGGACCAGGAGCCTGGAAGTATTTATTTCATCTCCTTTTTTTTTTTTGCTTGTATTTAGGAGAAGGATCTTAAACTAAGGTTTTCTCCATCCTGGAAGAGACACAGTGGCCTCACTGTGGAATTTAGGAAGTATGGAATTTAGGGAGTATGTGGAAGAGTTAGCTCTCCATCTTTTCTGTAGAGTTTCTCTCCGTTCAGACTGCCTCTATAGAATGAAGCACGATACCCCAAACAGGACATTACATTACCAAAGAGGTTTTACCAGGCACCCGCCTCAACTTATTGTCTTGCGCAACACTCTGCTAAAACCCTGAGGAATGACATTTGGTATTTTCATTACAATCTCACATTCTGGAATGCAGTGAAGCAGTGTGATGTCTATTCTGTTGGTACAGGAGTCAGGTGTATGTAGAAACCCCTCCCTGTCCTGCCATACAGTTTGCCCTCCCTCCAAGTGTGTTGAAATTGTTTGTGAGACTTCACAGCAAGCCACCTCAGAGAAACCAAGATTATAAACTATTTTCCACAGAAAATCTGTTCTCTGTTTTGTTTTGGTTTTATCCAAAAAAATATCAAATCCTGCAGCTGCAGAGACTGAGTTGAGTTTAATGACACTTGATCCTCTGACAACTCCTTCCATGAACTACTGGTCTCAGCTGGACACTCCCCTTTTTGTAGTGGGGTATTTGGTGATTTGATAGGGAGCACTACTGCTCTCCGCAGCTTTGTGCCTGACTTAAAACCTCCTTTTAAAGTCTACTAATTTTTCTTGATTTTTTTCCTCTTTTTTTTAACGTTTGTGCTAAACATTCTGCATACTATGCCCAGCAGAACAACTGTGTTATTAAATTGTACTGCATCGGCATTTCTCCTGGCTGCTCTCACTTATCTGTCCTCTATTATAAGGTGATATAATACATCTATAATAGATTATCCATTTTGCTAATGCACAGGCACATGCGCACACACACACACAGAAATAGGTGACACAGTTCAGCTCTTGCTAGTGGTCCAGAGAAGCCTCTGAGAAAGCAGGGGGGTCATAGCCAGCACCGGGAGAGAAAGCTTAGTGATGGAAACATGAACTATGCAGACTTAACCACAAAACTATTACAGATTTCTGTTCAGTTTGGTATGAATATAACAGAAAGCATTTCAGCAAGAACACCACTTCCTGACAATTAATGACAGCTGGGAGCTGATTAATCCCAGCCAGTCATACTTCTCCACAAGTACCCCTCAGAAGTGTTATTTTTATCAAGGAGAAAAAAGAGGGCCCAGCATGGAACCTCAACTCTGAAATGCCATCATCCAGACTCAGCTCTGCTGGGATTGAACCAGATAGTCCTGCTTCAAGCATATTCAGACATCAGCCTCCTACAACCTAACCAAGCTTCTCTTCATTCAGACGATGAAAGCTATGCAAGATCCACCAACTTCGTGAGATTTCTCCAGTCCTACAACAGCTCTCAGAGAAAGAAATCTGCAAGAGGCTGTTAATGTTAGGGATTTCAGCCAGACACTGAAATTGCTGTCTGTATGTTACCCAAACCCGAGCATCTCCTGCTTGCTTTCCCCCTCACAATAAACCCAATCCGTTTTCTCCTCATCGGAAGCAGACTGGACGAATACAGGACTGGAAATAATTAATCTGAATAATTCACCAGCTGTAAAGCCATTAAGAGGGCTGGTATTTCTTTCAAACCTGTTTTATGCTAGTTGTTAGTCTCCCACTCCTTCCTCCTGGGCATTGCATGGCTGGCTTCCTTCCATGCTCCTCCTCCATGGCCCTGGATGGATTGCTCAAGTTTTTCCCTCTCCATCTCCTCTCTCGCCACCAGACTTTTGTTCTTTCCTGTTGCTGTGTGCCTGACTATCTGAATGTCTCTGTCCCCCTAATTCCTCAATGCATGGATATAGCTCGTTTTTTAAACAAATTTACTACAGTAAAACAAGGTATCTATAAACACTTTGGATGACTGAGAGAAAAGTTTATCAATTTCTAAAAACAGAGCTGCTGCACCTAGATGTGTCCACCTTCCTTACCCCCCGATTTTGAACTTTAGCTACTATTTGCCACATTTTGACTACAAAAGATCCTTTATAAGTGCTAAGTAGAATCAACATTTGAGTTCAACTTTTGTGTGTGAATCTGTGGAAAGACCAGTTCAGGAATGTTCAACTTCGTTTTACATCACAGCTGCAACCAATACTTACAAAATACTTACAAAACAATACTTACAAAAATTGCTTGTCCTTCAGGCTGACCCTGGGAAAAAGCAAAAAAGGACTTGTTAATGATGTAACATACTAAAAAGTAATGGCAAAACCAAATAAATAATGTGTCATGGAATTAAAACAAGACCAATGCTGCAGCATATGGTAGTCTATGTGGCTGTTATTCTTCTGTGTGAGTACTGGGAATCAGACTCTGTTCTCCCAGCGAGTAAGAGTTACTACTGTCAGGATTAAGACAAAAAAAACAATGTGCTGTTTGATCTTTGTTGGCACTACTAGCAAGAATGTTTTTGGAGGGAAATAAAGCAAGTGAGGAATACAGACATAGAGATCAGAAGGGAGAAAACAATACATAAATAAAGAAATAATCTATCACAGCAACAATATTCTTTCATTCACAGTGATTCCAGAAACCTGAAGGAGTCAGAACTGATAACCAGAGTGACAGAAAACTGCAGGAAATCTGAGCATCTCCCTCACTCACGCTTCTCACAGGGAAGGTTTCTGAGCACTGCCCAGCAGGGATCAGGAAATATCAGTGAATGCACTTCATTGAACATCAGATGGGGAGGCTGAAGGAAGCGGCATGAGGAGGTAAAGGAGAATGAAGATGAGCAGAAGAGAAAGAAGGAAAGAACTGAATTGTGAAGAAGGATCACCAAATAAAGACTGGAAAGCATACAGTGCCTCTCTGTGCACACAGGAAAACCTTTCATTCCTGTGCTGGTAAGGTTGCTTCGTGGACAGACTGCCCTTTGCAGAGCATGATATGAAAGTGCTTCCCTCACAGCTCCCAACCTGGAGCACTCTGCTCTCTGCCCGGGTAGAGGCTGAAAGATCTGTTCCTGCCTTGCTGAACTCAAAGGGCAGCTTCTCTGCATGAAGGAAACACTGGCATATTTCAAGAATAGCCTTTAAAAGCAGATAGTATTAAAACCATCCAGAAGCGCACAGGACTTGCTTTCATCTTAGCACTAATTGCTGAGCTGTGCAGCCGAAGAGGATGGGCAGTGCTCATTTGCAAAAGGAAAGAGAAGGGGAAATTGGACAGAAACAAGGAAGGAGGGAAGAGAAAGGCAGAGTGAAACAAATTAAAGTAAGAAATCAAATGACAGATAAAAGGCAAAACAGAACAAAACAGAAGGAGGAAAATGGGAAGCAAGGAGAAAAAGTAGTGCTTTCAAGAACAAAAAAAAAGTAGAAGTCGAGAAAATCTTTCAGGAGATGGACTTACACAATGTAACTAAAGCAGCACTATTAAACTTTAAATTCCGTATTTCGGGAGGCCACAGTCTTACACAATGACAAAAATACACTGAAAACTCTCCTTTAATTCACACACTTACCTGTGACAGACACTGCAATATACATACACTGATACCGCAACTCTAACTGTGCATAGAGTTATGAAATTCTTCTTCCATTCAAAATTAAAACTTCTATTTTTAGTAGATGCCAAAGGTCAGTACTGAGAAGATGAAAGCAAGTCCCAGTAGTTTTACATGACAAATTAGTCAACAGCAAGAAGCAAAAGTGTATCACACAGACTGGATCACAGAAAAACACTGTGATTTCCTTTTGCTCAATATCCAGAACAGATCTGGGGCTTGGATCTTCAGCGTAATTCACAAACCAGCAACAGTCGCACAGTTGGAAGTTTCCACTTTCAAGCTCCACTCCAGTGTTCTGACTTGATGAAAAGAAATACTCACCATGCTAAGCATATCCAAATTCAAGGGAACATCATGTGAGAGCTGTTTAACTGCTTTGTCATCTTCAACCTCTGAGTAGAAAACCTTGAGAAGAAGATATAGTAAAGCTGGCTAAAGCAATAACTCAATGCTTCAGGATGACTTAAAAACAAGTGCATTATTATCACATCATGGGCAGTGTTTGAGGCTATGATCTCCTATCTTTTCAAACACATGAAAGTTAACGCCCTTTAGCACTCCTTTCATATTTACAAAAAATTGCCAGCATGACCAAAGGACGCCATCTGACAGTGTATACACCAAACTGATGTGAAACACAGCCTTGCTTTTAGGGCAGACTTGAACTGACTCAAATTGTGCATCACTTGGCCATGGTCAGCACGGGCAGCTAAAGATCTGTGGAACTGTTCTGCACAAGTTAGGCATTTCACTTGATGTATGGAACTTACTGAGATTACATGATTATGGCATTATAAAAATTGCTGTATCATAAATGCCTGTCCATGTCTGTTGCAATGTACTGGAGACTAATGAGCCACAGAGAGTTTGCTTTCCTGTGCACGAAGACCGATATGCCAGAAGGTCAAAAACCAACACGAAGTGAAGATGATGCAAGCACAGCACTATCAGTGTTGTTTGTCACTGGCTTTATTATCATGCCACACATGAGCTCAAGCTTAAAAATCAACTGGGGCTTGATCTACTCCATGAAAACCAGCTATGATTTGTGACTCTAAAGTACTGCAACTGTTTGAAGAACATCATGACCTACAGAAAAGCCCCTTGCCCATTGCACCTCTGTTTTCACACAGAGGAATGGACCCGACTACACACAGGTCGTGTGCAGACTGAGGCAGGTTCTGGCCACAGTGGTCCTTTGTGGTCCTCTGTGTGCTGGACTACAAGCACTTTTGTAACAACGAAAAACAACCCTGCAGCTGAGCTCCATTAGTGTTATTTATAAGACCAGGGGATGTAGAGGCATGTGTCCCAGAAACACCTATGGCAGGGACTTTTTTCACTCTGTTAGCATACACTAGAAATAAAGGTAGTCAGGAGTTTTCTGCTTCCCTTTTTTTCATGTAAAATTGAATTTTGGGTTATTTTTTTCTGAAAATTTCAGATCCTTCCACGGAAAATGATAACAAAACCATTACTTGGTTTTAGTTGAAGGGGAAAACAACAAATTCTCATCAATATCCCACATCTTTGGTGCTAATTACTCCCCTGACTAACTTCCATTTTGGGACTGTTTCATTGCCATGGAACACCTGCTAAAGCAGTACCTAAAAAAAATGAATGAATAGTGGATTAGTGCTTATTACATTTTCTGCTTCCACACTAAAACACAGAACCCAGTTTATGCTAGCCATTTTGTTCTGCTGATAGGCAGAGGGCAACATGGTGGAGGCCTGGAGGGGGTCAGAGCCTCATCCATAAAAGTGCTGGGCAAGACAGGAATATCGCTCAACTTGTTTAAGGAAAATTCACTTAAGGAAAGTCCCTTTTGATATGTAAGGCTGTGGCTGGGTTCCCAGGGATGCTACGTCCAGTACAGCCAGAGCAGTGACTATCATCCTGTACTTGGCACTGGTGAGGCTGTAACTCAGGTACTGTGTTCAGTTTTGGGCCTCTCGCTACAAGAAGGACATTGAGGCACTAGTGTGTGTCCAGAAAAGGGCAACAAAGCTGCTGAAGGGTCTAGAGCACAAGTTGTACGAGAGGCAGCTGAGGGAGTTGGGTTTGTCTAGCCTGGAGAAAACGAGGCTGAGAAGAGACATTATCACTCCCTACAATTACCTGAAGGGGTTGTAGAGAGGTGGGGATTAGTCTGTTCAACCAAGTAACAAGTGACAGGACAAGGGGAAATGTCCTCAAGTTGTGCCAGGGGAAGTTTAGATTGGATATTAGGAAGAATTTCTTTACTGAAAGGATTACTAGGCATTGGAATGGGTTGCCCAGGACAGTGGTGCAATCCCCTTCCCTGGAGCTATTTAAGAGTCACGTAGACATAGTCCTTAGGGTGGTTTCATTGAGGACTTGTCAGTGTTAGGTTAACGGTTGGATGCAATGATCTTAAAGGTCTTTTCCAATCTGGGCAATTCTGTGTGATTCTGTGATATGTAGTACAGTACTGTATCTATCAGGGGAAGAGACACCATGAAGTTCTCCTTCCCCTGTACCTGATGCCAGACTGGGAAGGTTTAGAGATGTAGCTATTTCTATTAAAAGCAATCCTCTGGCTGGAAGCACAAGTCAAAGGATCTGAATGAAACCACCACCATGCATCTCCATTCACTTACACAGTGCTGACACGCTCTGCTCTACTTTACTGTTTTATAAGCTGCAGAGATCACTGAGATCCTTGCATGAAAACCACAACAGAAAAGCAATCTATAGCCACTGCAAGCCCTTGGCATACAACCCAAATTCCCATCACAGCCTGCCTTTAAAACACGAACAGCTTGTTTCTTAAAGTTAGAGCTCAGACCTACAAGCCCACTGCCCTGTGACCACTTTCTGTGCTCGCCTGCTTGCTTCACCATGCCGTATGTGTAGTCTGAGGACATGCAGGGTACTGCAATCGTCCACTAGCAGCACAGAGAATCACTTACCGTATATCCCGTGATAGTGCTCACATGCTGCTTTGGCATCCTCCATTGCACGCTGAATGCTGTGCAGTTCAGTGAATCCAGCAGTATATCAAGAGGAGGCCCCAGCCTATCTGCTCAAAACAAAATTATATTGTATAAGAAGCCATAGGACACAAAACCTCTCCTTTAACCACCTGGCAGGTAGGACTTTGAAGAATAGACTTGTGCTGGCCTCATTCCAAACTACTAAACATAGCCCACTACTCAAGAGTTGACTCGGGTGCCTCTTTTCCCTCTCCACCTCTGCCTTCCAAGGCAGGAGTGGGATGGCAGGAGAGAGTGGGCAAAGGGGGACATCCCCTCTCTCAGTGGCACGGAGCTCCTCACCAGCTCCGAACACCTCATGCACACCTTCAGTCCCCACCTCACATCTTCTTCCTCCAGGTTTCACATGCAACAGCAACATCCTGGTGTAAGGAAAACCACACTAAATCCAAAGTGTGCCTCCTTTTCTGCTCTTTGCTGCTTTGGCATAGGCCAAAAGACCCGCTTCATGGGCCACCAACAGGTTTCCCAATCATCACCAGTCCCTGCAGCCTCAATTCCTTCAGGACAGCTATGGATGGCAAAGGCAATGATTTATGAAGCGGGTTTAGCCTGATGAGAAGAGCACAATGGACCCCTCAGTTCCTGCCTGCAACTCTCTGCACACAGGATACAGCAGTGGGATCTCCTGATGTCACACTTTCAGTGCTGCCACGACCAACCCTTCTCTCACCAGCCACAACAGGAGGAGGGCACTTTTATAAGGCTATACTGGTCTCATAACAGCTCTACATGTCCTCGCCCTGTGGTACAATCTGGGTCTCCGTACAATGGCTAATTCAACTGCTACAAAAAATAACAGACTGGAGAAGAAGGAAACCCTGAGTTCCACATCTCCAGTAACATATTAATAACTGCATTTACTGTCTCAAAAAGGGCAAGCAGAGGAGAGTGTGCTCTTGTAATCTGACAATGATTTCTAATACTTCTCCAAATCACCATCATCTGTGGTCTTGAAACCAAACTCTCCTAACAAACAACTGTAAAGGAGAACTGACTCAGACACTTTAACAACTAATTCATTTTTTTTCAGGTGACAGTTTTACTATACTTAGTTTTTTGCATGCCCTTACCTACGAAAATTTTAAATAAAACCTAAGGAGACACTTTTTTTCCCTCTTTTTTTTCCACTAGGTCTGACAAAATATCAAGCAAAAAAAAGGTCACTTTTAGATGTGAAGCAAGCCTACATCAGATTAACACTTGTCACTTCCACCAACGTATTTAATTTGAAGCTAAATACAAAACTTAACAGCTTACAGACTCTGCACAGTATCAAGCAGTGTCAATACCTGAGTAGTTAAAACAAGAGCAGAACTGATATTCTGTTCCTGACCTTGCATTTTCCCATCACCAGAAATCTTTTTGGCTTATGTTTCTTAATCTGCTGTATCTATTTGTGTTAGCAAGTGTGGCCTGGGCCCACACCCCTCAGTTAATGCCTATGACTTCTTCTTTTACCTATTTATTTCTCCTCAACACTAAAAGAAATCCTGGACAGTGCCAGGTGCAATCATGGAAGGATAGATATATAAAAGGGTTTAAGAGACTTCTCTCACCATTGGTTCCTATGCTTGAAGGTTCAGCTACTCTTATCTAAAAAAATTCCCAGCAGATTGTCTCCTGAGCAAGGTTGTACAAGGACTGCACATGATGCATTCCTCACCAAGGACTTTTTTATTATTTTTCCTCTTATTGTTGAAATCACACAGTGGGCGATAAAAAATAATACACCTTCAGAAAAAGGGACTACCTGTTGTATGCTAGAGGCTTATATACTCTACACACCCCAAGGATCTTGCTTATCAGTTCAACCTGAAAGATATTCTGAAGACTAACATACTACTGTAACATCCCCAAGTAGTCTGTGTAGCTGTAACAGCACAGGGCTGCACTTGCAGATTAAAGACAAGAGACCATACTTAGGGCTCTACCCATGTGAATTGTCCTCATTTCCTGCAATGATCTAACCTGAATTAATGGGAACATGCACAGGAATTACTGCCTGGACTAACAGGCTTCTAGTGTGCAAATACAAGCTAGCAGACAGATTCCCAGTTTCCTCCCAGCCTGTGGCATTTCCCAAAGGGTAAAACAGGGACCTACAATGTCCTCCCAGCCCTCTTCCAGGGATACCACCAGCACAGCCCTTACCGTAGCTTCCAGGGAAGGGGCACTGAGGAGCTGAACACATCCTAAATAGATCATCAGGTAAACAAATAACCACCCAGTGCTTCCAGTAATGTCTCTGAGCAACCTGTAGGCTTTTAAACATGTTCCTGAGATGCTGGAAACTACCCAGGACCCAAAGACAGGGACACCCCCATATCCACACTGCCTATACAGTCTGTCACATAGCTTCAGCCACCTAGGAAATTCTCCCAGGAACGGTTCAGAGGATAGCACAGTTCACAAACCATGTCAGTAAGTCAGTACAGACAATTTTTGGTAAGAAAAGGAGTCCAGTTGCAGGGATGAGAGTCCCAGGGATGAGAGTCAAACCACACCACGTTACTTGCTCTCTGGGACCTCACTCATTTTCTCTCTTAGCACAGCCTTAGTGTTATGAATCCTTGGCTTAAGTCAGGGTCTCTGAGAGGTGCAGGGTACCACCTCTCGTGCTCGCCTACTGCCCTGCATTCAGCAGCAGCTGGACCATAACACCATGTGCCACCTGCTACTGAAAGGAGAGGCAGGGACGAGCAGCCAGGGCTGGGGTATCGCTGTCTACTTAAGCAGCATTTCATATTCAGAAAACACCTTTCCAATCTTCACAGTAACCAGTGAGGCAGATTAGCATTAGAGTTGCATCAGCAGTGAAGCAAAAAGAATATCCTCCAAACACTCACCCCTCACATATTCTTGCCATCTTTGTATTATTTTCTGGAAAGGCTCTGTAAGACAACTTTACTTGTTTGCTGAAATAGTAAGTTTTAATCAGCAATGACAAATACTCATTTGAGGTAGGCTTCAAATTCATATTCAGAACGCACGACTGGCCAATAAAATTATTTACACAAAGCATTTGGTGAATAATTTGAAGAAAACAAATAAATTTGAAAAAAATGCAATCCATTTGCAGACTATCAGCAGAGAGGCAACATCTAGTTAATAAGGAACCGCACCATGAATTATTCACCCAGCCCCATTAAACACTATCTCCGTTTTGCAGATGATGAAAGACACACAATGAGACAGTTACCATGGCCTACAAATTGTCACTGGAGGAGTAAATACAAACATGAGAGGAACATGAGAGGAAAGAGCTGAAGAGGTCTAAATTCCTACCCTCCTTGTTTAATTCTCCCTAAAAGTCAGTGAATTTCACTAACACAACAACAGACGGTGTCAGGAGGAATGCTTGGGAATCAGGTGTAAGGAACATCGGCACCTAGCACCGTCTTCGCGAGCAGCCTGAGAAGATGCTCAGCAGTGAAATGATGGTTTGGGGAGTGTGCAGGACCTGCTCACCATACTATAACATCCTGCCCTCCCTGTGACAACACCATGCAAGCACAGGGTGCTCACCTTGCCAGGGACTGTGCTGTCTCCCGGTTAAACGAGGAGCCAAGAGAAAAACAAAAATCTGGGCCGGCTCTGCCTCAGTCACAGAGTTATTTGTTGTGGAAGACAGAGGGTACGGCAGTGAGAGCACCTCATGCAATGTGGTGGTCCCCACAGTCCTCCGCTGTCCACCAGTCCTGACCCTGTGGCTTACTGATGTGTGCCTGGGGATTTAGAGCCAATTGATTTTGTCAGAGTCCGAATTTCACACAACACGGCAGAAAGTAAAAAATGTCCATTTTTGGACTGAGTTTTCCCTTGGCAACCATGACTAAGTGACTGCGTGATCTGACACAAGCAATGTTTACATCAGTGAGATGCAGGAGATGTCACAGCTCTGAAACAGTCTTGCTGCAACACGGTATCAAAGCAGTTTGTCAGCTGATCACAACTGTTGCAATACAGATCACTGTTCTACTAGCAAATTATTTTGAGATAAATGTGCACTTGAGGTAATTCGCAAGATATTACAGAACATCTTGTATTAGGCACACTAAAAATGGATATTAAAACTGGTGTAAACATTCATGTCTTTATGTCAAAGGTCATGGTTAAACTATAAAAAATAAAAATAGTTTTCGAGGGTAAAGTATTTGCAGTTCCCCCCACTATTCAGGTCAGAAATACCTCTCTTCTCAAAATTCACCATGAAATCTCTATTAATTTCTGTTAATCTATCAGGATGCACAGTGCAAAACCAGAAGGCAGCCTACTCCACTCGGCAGTCTGCTGGATGAAACCTGCAGACGAGAGGTGCGGTGTATCTACTACCTGTAAATACCTGATGATCTGCCTCAGTGATGATCCCACCTGCCAATGTCTTCTGCAGTGGGATCCAGTGAACATCTAAGAAGGCATGAAGATAATTCTGCTCATAAACAACCAGGAACCAATTTACATAAAAATAAAATGAGATACATTCTGTGCAAACATAGTCATTCTCCTTTCTGGCGTGTCATGCCTAAAAAGTTAGATATTGTCCAAAATGCTTTGATGAAACTGGTAATGGAAGCAATAACTTTGGTCCCATGCAAAGAAGACATTAATCAAGTGGGAGCACTCTTACACACATTATGCCTACAGGCTGTAGAAGTATACCAAATACAAGAAGTTAATGAGGATTTGGCTGCAGATAAACAATGCTGAGTTGACAATGCTGTATTTATTTTTCTGCTTACAGCTATTCTGCTTCTTGTTTATAAATATCTTTGATCCTGTACATCTAAAAATATGCAAAAACTGCTAAACCAATGAAGAATTCACCAAACAAGCTCTCCAAGTGAGCTGCAGAATATATAAGCCCTCCTCCTAAGATGGAGTTACTTTTACTATTTAAAAATAACTACCATTATCTGAACTTCTGCTTCACAAAAGCAAATTAATTGTAAAAAAGCTTATCCTATTGTCACGAGCATTGTTTCCATTGCAGCTCCCACTGCCACAGACAACAGCCTCTG